GCAAAAGTGGGTCATCATCGTCAGAATCATCAGAAGATTAGTGATCTACACACAATCTCTCTCTCTCACATACACGATTTAAACTGTAGTTTTGTGCGAGGGTATTAGTGGAAGTCCACAGGTAAATCCTAAAACAGAGCAGTGCACGAGTTAGACTAAGGAGCAACGATGCATGTTAGTACACCAACATATATTTATATAAAGTATGTTCACTTTACATGAGTAAATATATATTTACATTTTTCAATGTATTTTTTCATTTGAATAGTAGCTCCTGTGCCAAAACAGTGTGGACACCGCTGCATTAGAGCAACCAAAGTGAACAAAACCTTATAACCTGGTAGGAAGGTGTTCCTGCTGGGACCATGACAGTGTCTGGACCAGCCTGTATCCTGTGAACTGTTTAAAGCAGTGCTGTTAGGCCTAATTGTACCATTAAATATTAATGGGTCTAGTGTTGTATGTAAAATGTAGTGGCCCCTGGAGTTGGCTTTGTAGATGACAGTTGAGTGAACATCCATCCTTTTGTAAGGATGACTCCTTGTTTTTCTTGATTCTGAACTGCTTTTGCTATAAAAACAAGGTGATTATATGCATATTAATTAATTCATCACCTTTGACCTACATCTATAATTAAAGGTTAGTCAAAAGGACTTTTGAGGACATGGAGATAGCTGGTGTAAAGAAGAAGAGGAGGCAGATGACCTGCTGTGATGACCGCTGAAGGGAACAGCCGCTAGAAGAACAAGAAACTTTTAATAAATCTGTTCTAATAATATAATCTGTTATAAACTCATTAAGAAAGTTTACAAAACACTAAAGAATGAGGATGGAGGTAAGGTCAGTCTCATGGTCAGCCCAGCCCAGCTGCCTTTCATTATCACAATAGACGAAAGAAAAGTTATACAAGTCACTTTGTACAAATGATCAGCACACCACAGTGTCAGCTCCAGGCCACACCCTCTTTGGCCTGCATTGTTTTTCACCTTATCTCTCCTGAATACAAGGTGTGGCTTGTGGTATCATCTGTGCAAATCACTCCAGTACCCTGACATGCTCGATACAGGGAGGGCTGAGTGGAGGAATCTTTTACCACCGGGGTCTCTTTAACTGGGTCAAAAATCTGACTAAAAACAGAGGAAAGAAACTGAAGCAGAGGTGAAAACAGATGTATAAGGTTTTGTATGAAAACTTAATTTGGGATAAAGCTGTGTGTTTAATGTTGATGGGAGCAGATCGAAAAATCACATGACTAAATGCTGTATGGTTTAGGGTCAACCAAAACATCTCTCTGGTCAGGTCATCCTTTTTGAAAAAATAACGTCTCCTTAGCTCAGAAAATATAGAATATAAACAACATGATTAAGACAATAAAAAAAAACATAGGAAACTGCATTATAAAAAATGTGCTTTTTTTAAGCAGTAGATTTGTCAACTATCCAAAAATACTTGGGTCTAAAGAGTAGAAATAAAACTGGGATTGTTCCTTTTTCATCCCATCACTGCTCAGTCATGAGGTGGATCTAGTTTCCTTACAGCTCAGTTTGTGCGAGGCCTTCAAATCAGTGTACTGACCCTCTCGTGTTTGATGGCATATGGCGTGGGAGTGGGTGTCAATTTCTGCCCCAGGGGTAAATGGATTCACTAAATGTCATGTCCGCCAAGTTGGCCGTGCCGAGCATCTGATGTCTTCCCTGAGACGACATCATACACGAGTGGCTAGTGGAGGGCGGGACCAGGTGTGGGGGAGGTCACTTCTGTCCTCTGCAGTGTATAACATCGCGGGTGGGGGCTGGAGGGTAGGTTGGATGGATTTGTGTGTGTGTGAGTGTGAGAAGGGATTTCCTTTTTCAGCATCCAGAGCTTTGACCAAAACAAGGCCACGTGGGCCTGAATTAAAACCTTGTTTAAGAGGATTGAGGGCAGATGGCTTCCCATTGTTCCAAGCCGTGTTTATGGACAGAAAAATAGGGTGAGTTATGGAACCACCAGTAACCAACCCCCCACTCCCCAACCACCTTCCTTACCCTCTAGATCAGGGGTGTCAAACACATTTTCACCGGGGGCCACATCAGCAATACAGTTCCTGTTGAAGGGCTGGTTTTAAATGGAACACTGTATGGGGGTCCCCAACCCCCGGTTCACAGACCAGTAGGTAGACCAGTCCATAGGTCCTTTGGTACCAGCCTGCAGTGGGACACAGTGAAAAAAATTACTAATTTACTTCATTAAAAAAAATTCCATTTACTTTCTTTATTTGACGATAATCTGGCAATATTTTAAAATAAAAGTCATTCAGACTTTGATACAAACAGATGGAGTCTGGTATAGATGTAGCTCCTCCATAACAGACTAATACATGTATCTGCAATTGATTATTATTTACTCAAGCTACAAATATTGTTCATGACTGTGTAATAAAAAAACATTTAATTTCATAGGTTGATAAACTCTGCTGCATGGCCACACAACATGGCGTGGCGGGCCGCATTTGGCCCCCGGGCCTTGAGTTTGACACGTATGCACTAGATAAATACACAACATCCCACTTTAAATGTTTCATAATGATTGGGGTTGACTGGCTGATTTCTCATTGGACTCTAGGGGTCCTCACCTAAGCCAATCGGTGACCTTGGTGGCCCACTCTGTAACAGATCTAGTTTGCACCAAAAATGCTATGATTGGTTAAACGCAGGCCAATCAACAGTCAAATAAGTGATGCTGTTTTTCTATATGTGCTTGATCAAAAACGGCAGCTAATGACAGAGGTGCACATGTGCAGCTGTGCCGTTATGCTCGGCAGTACAGAGCCTCATTCCACAAGCTGCACCTTAAATGGAACATTTACATGAAAAGTACACTCACTTTCTTCTTGTCTTCCCGCCCACATTCTCACTACACGCTCAAACACTCTCTTATAGCAAACCAAATTATATTTTTCTTTCTTTTCCTCCTACCATCCCTGACTCTCTGAAGTAGCCAGATGGAGAGGGGGCGGTGAGAGTGAGTGGTTGTATGTACTGTGGCCGTGTGTCTGTGTGTGAGTGTGTGAGTGTGTGTGTTATTGCATGCATGGATAGCCATGAGTTTGCATATTTACGTCCCCTGCACATTTTGTCCTCAACCTCCTCCTAATTCACAACATACAATATTAGCCGTTTTCTACTAAACTAGAGTGAAATAACAGGGCTATAAATCAATCATTTAACACAGGTGCCAACAGTTAAAAAAGTATTTGGAACAGGGCTGCATGCTTTAGGATGTTGCACGTGGTTAGAACATTTTACATACGATGATGCAAGAAGTAGAAATAGTGAAGGTGGGTGAGTATAGTATTATAATACCACAGACGGGCAAAGACAACGGAACATATTTTTATTTTAAACTGAATTACAACTCTACTCAATGCATGTACAGTTGAAGCATTTTTCGAACTTATGTTCTTTAAGGCCGTTCGTGAACCGAAAAATGTGAAAACTGAAACAAATTTCCCATCAATGAATCATTGTAAAATGGATTAATCCGTTCCTGGACTGGATGTTTGCTTATTCAAACTTTTACGACAGTATTTCGTGAGAAGGTTCATACAGAAAACCAATGCAAATCATTAGATCTAATAAAAAAAGATAAACACAATTGAATAAAGAACAAAGCTATAAATAACAGGGGCAGATTCAAGGCGCAAGTGGAGGATAGTACAAATCGACGACTTTACTAACCCATACTTTAAAGCCAGATCTGAAACACGAACGCCATTCTCATGCTTTCACATCATCTTTCTTTACTTCTGTTGTTGTTCTCACTAGTTTTCTGTCCACCTTTCCACTTTCACTAGCTTTCTCAGGTCCCACGGTGATTTATGGAATAAAAAAATAGAATAGAAATAGCACAACGCAAGAAATATCGGCAAAATCAGACTAAATATCTTAGTGTGTATACTCCACGGGCTGAGGCCAGACTGACACCACACGCTCAGTCACTTAGTGATCACTTGCTGCCTGTGTGTTATTGGCTTGCTCGGCAACCAAGTTAGGTACGACAACCTGGGACATTTATAGTTAAAAAAAAATTATTCAAAAAGAGAGCCGTTCGACAATCTGGGTTCCACCGTAATTTGAAACCTGGAACCAGTATAATCAGAATCTGGGGCTTGTGACGGCTTTGTTTAGCCAGGTTCGGCAGGCCGGATTAAAAAACCCAACGAGCTGTATCTGGCCCCCAGGCCATAGTTTGCACATGTCTTACCTAGGAGGTCTATTATCCTCTGCTAAACATTTTCATCCCTTACAAAAGCGTTAAAGAGACTTGCAGGTAGATTGCTGTCCTTATAGATGAAGGTCTCTTGACAGTTTAACGATCTGGGAAATGATTGTACAGGAGGGTTAGACAAATGTGACCTTTGGTGACAACTGAAATCTCAACCCAATATGTAGAAATGCCAGCTACAGACAGCGCTAATCTGGAGCGGTGTGAGAGAAAGAGGGTGTGCAGGAGAGAGAGAGAGAGAGAGAGAGAGAGAGAGAGCATCAGGCACCACTAGAATATAGCCCTCCGCCGTCATCACACTGTTTGGTCCAAGCGCCACAAGGAGACTGTATTTTCCCCTGAAATAATGGACGGGACAAAGCCAGCATTGGATTCCAACGCTGAGGAGACTCAGGACGAAGGACAGGAGAGCAAAGGTACGCTCGTTGTGCCGAGCGGCTGCTTTTATGTGCGTTTCTCGTTGGTGACATTTGCGTCTGCGCCTGTGTGAGCGGTTTAACCCACTTATGGTGGCCGTGCCGACACAATAGCGCCAGCTCTCCCCCATCTTTGGCGTCTAACCTGTTTGATTTGGACAACAAATACATCTCGTCTCCTTAGCGCAGGTGACTGACGTTTTTCTTTCCAGTAAATCACGGCGCAGTTTGACGTTTTTCTCTGCCCCGTGCGCCAGTGAATGGAATTTGTAGAGGGAAAAGGAGAGGGTGGATGAAAATGTGGGTGAATAATTGGCTTTTTAGAAAGATACATGCGGTGGTTTTCATCGTATTTTATTATTATTTTTATTTACACCGCAGCGCCATTAGCAGCAGATAGAGTGAGGGAGTGATGGCGAGGGTGTGCGCAGCGCTGCGCTCCCTGCGCGCCATTGTTTCAGGTGTGGAGGGGACACTTGTATCATTATTGGTGATTGTTGCGCCACATAGCGTTGGTGTGAAACCACAAGTAGCACTCAGGAACACGCAGAGGCAGAGGGAGAAAGAAAGAGAGAGACTATTCTGTTCCACGTTCACAGTTCAGCTTTATAACCAGACGGTGGTAGAAGTGAGCAGAGGCGTGCAAGACGTTTTCAGCGGTAGTGGGTAAAAGAGGCCACCCCTTCATTTTCTAGGGTTCAGTAGGCGGCTGTAGGTGGTGCTAATTAGGCATTTTAAGCCTCAAAGCATGAATAAAGTATGAATGTACGACCTTATTCCTTCATATAAATAAAATACTGTGACTCTTGATTTAAAGAATTGGTACTTGACTTGAAATCCCAAATCAATCTCAGACCACTACAAATTGTGAGACCAGAAGTGCTTAGGCCAGAAAGAGCAAGGCACTAAACAATACAGTATGTGGTAACATGCTTGCCAACAGTAGTTAACTGAAATTGATCTCCATCTGTCCAACCACAGTGGAGATTGTTCCACTTGGTCACTTTTTTTTGGTCACTTTTTGTTCATGTGACCTTTGACTAACATGTTGCCCCTTAAGTGCCATTGTCCCACCTGCCCATCCTTAAATGTCCCTAACCTATCCTCCAATTTGAATTACAATGTAATTAACCGAACTATTACAGTGTACAAAGGGCAAGTGCTTGAGCACGACT